CACGTGTTGGCTGTCGTGTATGTATGTGGAGGTAAACATTCAGTTTTGATTTACTTGCCACAAAACGCTTCTAGTGTTATATTGTCTTATGTTTTGGTGTGACGAAATGAATCCTCTGGCTTTCTGCAGTAGAACTGTGTTACCTGGCTCTCAATGGAGGAAAAAATTGTTCACTTCAGCTTCTGTTCCTTGGTTTTTCTCAGATCTCAGGAATCCTGTCTTCTCCTTCTTAGAGGGTATACGTGTCTGTCTAAAATCATTTGGTAAACCAAGCCAGCTGCTCATGTCTTGTAAAACACCTAGGGAGCGTTTTAAAACTTACAAGCCGATTCTGTTACTAAATGATCTTCTGGTATGTTGTTCCTCTTTAGCACATGCTACGGGTCCAAAAATTGGTGGCGGAGCTACATGGATGCAGTTGGCATAAGTCTACCCCCGTTCTGTGCTCCCAAGAGGAGCTTTTGTGTGGTATCTGTAGCTGGTTGTGCTGTTTTCTTAGAACCGAGCCGCTGCTGGAAACCAGGTGGTCTTGCCTGCAAGCCACTGTCCGCACACTCCTAGCTTCGGGAGGCCAGGGGTAAGGCTTTTGGGCTGGGGCCAATGCTTTTGGTTTGGCGTGGTTTCCCGCTTTTGCCTGAGCTGTGGGCAGGCCTGCGTGCAAACCTGCTCAGCTGAAGCCCTGCTGCAGGTCCACGTTTTAACCTCTGGCTTTATTCCTTCGCAAGGTGCGATGCAGTGGCGGTAGCTGCCTTGTGCATAGCGAATAGCGCTTGTTTGTGCACAGCGGTTCTTGTCAGGCTTATGATCGGGGGATTTGTAATTTTCAGTTGGGATGATGCTGCTTAACATGATCCACCGCTGTTAAACTCTCCCTGCTTTTGCTAAGTGACTGTTACAAGGAGCAGCCCCCAGCAAATCGTGAACCCTTTGAAATGTTTCAATGAAATGCTTGAGAGTAAGTCGGGCTGGTTTACTTCCCTTCTGTTGTGCTTTTTTTTTTTTCTTTTTAAGGGCTGAATTTTTAGCTTTTCATTTTGCTGGTTGTCACAAGCCATGCATTATTTAAGTAGCATCTCTTTGTTTTAGCAGCTTGAAACGAGCCAGAAATTCACCTTGCTCGCAGGCTACCAGCAGACACGTTTGCTGCCCGCAGGCAGAAAGTAGGAGTTGATGCTCTTTTGTCAACGTAGGTGAGCAACAGAGGTGTTGCTGTACGGGGGAGAGGCTAAAACACACAATGATTTGGTGTTGCTGACATCTCTTTCAAGTTGCTCTTCCCCCCGCTCCCCCCCTTCGGTTGGGATTTCAATTCCTACCTCCCCAGCAGTGCTTTCTGTCTAGTCCTGTTGCCTTGAGCTAGAGCCAGAAAAGAGCACTTTGAGGCTAGTCCCGTCTTGGGTATGTGGGAGTTCAAGATTTCAAATGCTGTAAGTGGGGGGGGTGAATACGTTACATGTGTCTAGCAGGGGCTCTCCCCTCGTCTGTCGCTTTAAATTCCAGCACCGTCTGAAGAGGCTCATTGCAGCACAAATGCGAGGTGGAGGGAGCGGATTTGAGTTCTGCTCCAATTACTGCGGTCCAGAAACGCCTGCATATACCAGGAGTTTAAATATATGCACAGTACCGATGCTTGCTATTTTTAGGTTAGGCTAAAAATATGTAACGTGGTGTTTGCAGGGATTTTGAATGGGTTTTGGAAGTCCTTGTGTAAGCATTCTGTGTGCACCTGAGACCTGCTTCATCTCTTAGCAGCTGATCCGTTAACTCGTAGTAGTGGTTGGGACCAGTGGTTTTGTAGATTATATTTTTGCATGTATGAGAAGCTTGTTCAGAAAGTACGTGCGACTTCAACTCCAGTCTGAGATCTAGTCAGTTCAGAGAACTGTTATACGTAAGTCCCTGATGGTCTCTGATTTTTTTTTTTCCCCCAGTAGCTGTTCTGTTAATGGGTTCTTCTCCTCTCAAGCTGCTGTAGGAAAAACCTTGACAGGGAGGGTTTCATTGCCTGTGCAGTGAAACAACTTGGGTGTGCAGAGTCACGACTACATGGAGTAACGTGGAAAATGGAGGGGAGGTTTGGTGGAACCGCATCTTCAGCGTGGCAGTCTTCACTGCGCTGTCAGTGGGTGGCTTCGAAGTTGTGACGAAAGTTTTGTGTCACCCGGATACTGTACAAGGATTCAAGTCCCAAATCCAGTTTGGTGTGCTGTAGTGCAGGTGGGAGTTTTTAAGAAAAAGGGAGGAGGGAAAAAAAAAAGCTTGCGAAGTGTATATCTGCCTGCTGCCAGGTCTTTTTCTTTTGAAATGGTTCTAGTATCCTGTCCTTAAGTATTGCAAAAATGCTGGTGGTCATGTTAGAGCTTGGTTATAGGTAGCCTTATTCTTTACCTATAAATAGGCACTGAAATCACTGAGGTAGCGTGGGATAGCTTCTTTCCATCTGTCTTGCTTGCTTTTTATTATGTTGTTTATGTAGGGCAAGACCCTAGGGTGGCTTTGATCTTGTTACTTCACGTTCTTGGCGGCCTAGTGCTATAAACATGAATAAACTTCCTATTCGTGCCACTAGGTGGAACTGGCCCATGCTTATAGATATTTGTTTAAACTTGAGTTCCGTATTGAGTATTGACAAAATGAATTGCTAGCTCTCGGTGGAAGCTTGGCTTTTACCCTCAAAGCAATGCTTTATTAAGAAGCTTAGGTTTATGCAGTCTGTTTTGAAATAGAAAAGTGGTATATTGCCAGTTCTTTCCAGGTTTGGCTTTTTTGGTTTTGTGTTTTTTTTTTTGTTGCCTTGACTGTGTATTACAGTTAATGCTACTTATTTTATTCCTGCTTTTAAACCAGCATGAGTCTTTTGGGTGATGTGTGTGCATCTTTCTCTTGTACAGGGGGGTAGACAGTCTGTTATCCCACATTTCATTTCAGATTACTTCCTGTACCTCTTTCTTGATGCTCAAGGTTGAAGTGTGCAAGTTCCTCTCGACGCGAACCAGAGCTGCCTATAGAGAATACGGTCTTAATGTTAGTCTGGTGGCTTATCCCTTGCTCTTGGACGTGAACAGCTGTGGTTTAGCCAGCATTGGACAAAGCACCATTTCAGCTATTTGGGAGAAGATTTTTTTGGTGACTCTTGCCGAGCATTTGCGGTGTCGACCCACCCACGCGTGCGTGCATACCCAACTCTGCTAACGCATTGCATGCCCCTGTAGGGGAGAAATATCCAAGCCACTTAGCTTTGCTCAGAGCAGATCCGAGCAGACACCTGTCTAGCCTCTGTCCGCACCACTTGATGCTGCGAGGGCTGATTTGTGGCTTTCACGAACGTCCTTGTTCCTCCCCAGCCAGTCTTGGAGTGATCCTTCACCGTTTTTGCCTGCCAAGAGGTTCCTTTGCTGAGCGTGAGCCTGCATGAAGGCAGCTGAGACGAGGCGGGTTGCTAGCTGTGCGGGGGCTGTTGGTTGCTGCAAGGAGTGCTTTGTAGGACCAGCCTGCTGGGAAGCAGAAGTGATTGACGTGGGTACAGGAGCTGAAGAGGCCTGGGTGCCACTCTTGGCTTTGCTGCTAGCCTGCTTGGTGGCCTTGGCCACACCGGTCCTTTCCATGCTTCCACTTCTCCATCTTTTAAATGGCAAGAAGCGTATTGATCTTGTTTTCTAAAGTACTGAGAGGGCTAAAGGTGGAAAAATGCTATGCAGGACTAGGTGGTAGCTATTCACGAGTACCAGGGGAAATACAACTGTAATAATGTGGATGTGACCTTTTAAAAAGGACAGGGTTTTCACCAAGTATGCTTACAGTGACCCAGCTACTGAGCTGCCGCTCCGGCACCTGTCTGCAATGATGAGAACAGCGCTTCCATGCCATTCTGGCAAATAAAGTAGGATGTATTTCTCCTTGCTTATAAGGCAGAAGCTGAAGGACCTGGTGGGAACACTCCCAAAATCTTGCTTTTGAAGCATTTTCAAAGCATCAATATGCCCATGATGCTCTTGGAACTGCTTACTGGAAATAGGGTGTGCTACTGAGGTTTCGGGGCTCAAATATAGGGGTAGTTGCATATTTGTAGTCATGCTGGTTAGAAGAGGCCTCTGCAGTTCCCTAGCCCAGTGTCCCACTCAAATTCGGACCATCACCAGTGCTGGGACCAGGTGAACGTGGCTGTTTGTAGCCAAGCCTTGAAAACCTTTACGGTGGAGGTTCCCTCTGGAGGAGGCTGCTTCAGGCACTGAGCTGTGCTGCTGGCACCCTTTGTGTGTGTTAAGCCAGCGTCCTGCCCTGCAAACGGGAAGACGCTGCTGCCTTGCTCGTTTATCCTGCTGCCTACGGTGCAAGGCTTTGGACCGGGTCCGTGCAGGCTGTCCTGCAGGAGGAGGGTGCGTTCCTGCCCAAAGCCAGACGACTCTCAGCGCTGCTGTGCAGCCTGAAATGTGGCTTGGGTTTTGGCTTTTTTAAGTGATAAATTATACTTTATTTTTATTATTTTATCCTGTATTAAAATCTTTTGAAGATGGTAATGACTAGTTCCTCGGGGAGGGTGTAGATATGAGTACGTAGTATGCATCTGAACTGATTTCTTCATTTTGCTGTCCTAGCTGCAAATCCTGTTCCCTGCAGAGGAGGTTGAGTAGAATTATTGAGGAGGAATTTATACTGCTCTTGTGTACTAGCAAACAGGATTTTATAGCAGACCCACCATTTTCTTCCAACTTATGCATCAGTAAATATTTAATAATACAGATTCTTCCGTGCTTTAATGATGAGATGAATACTTCTCAATAAAAAGACTTCCTTTCTCGTTCCAGTGATCAAATTGCGGTCGGAGTTCCTGTATGTATTCAGCTGCTTTGCGATAGCGGGAATTGAGAGCTGTAAGCTGACAGACCATAAAATGGAAACCTACTGTTCAGGTTGCAGTGATTCCTCTGATCTCCTAATCCTGTTTGGGAGCCTCCAGCCGGCTCATTGAGCCCCTCTGAGAACAGGTGGGGGTAGCAAATTTTAGTGCCAAAAGCTCAGTCCTGTGAAGGACCCTGATCCCTGTCGTGCTCTCTTTTCAGTTTGAGAGCAGGTGGTGTATCCTGGAATTTGGACCAAACCCTCACTGAGGAGGGGATGTGTCATAAATCAGGGAGGTCTCTTCTTTAGAAGAGCAGATGATGGCAAGAAAGTGTGCTCTGTAAATGTGACTTGTTCCCGTGCCGGTTCACGGCGCAGACACAAAACATGCACTTATATACTGCCCTGCCAGGGGTGCAGCTTCCTTCTGACGTGTCAACAGCATGGACGTTGTGGAAATGAGCTCAGAGCATCTGTGGTCCCTCTGAGGTTGTGCCTCAGCTTGGTGGCACACAAGGGAATTGAAGGTTTTTGATGCTGGTGTCTCCATTTCAGCAGTGTGGCTCACTTCACCATTCAGCTCCTCAACAGCTAGGCTGTCAGGTCTGACCCATAACACTGGCTGTTCACCTCGGTGCTAGCATTTCTGCAGCACTTGGGCGTGGTATGACTTCATGGCATTAAGTGCGATAGGGGATGGTTGTGATGACCTCAACTGGTATGTCTGAGATACAGGCTTACGTGGTGTTGCCCTGTGGCAGCTCAGGCAAGTGGCTTTTGCTCCTCTCACCAGTAGATGGTGGCAGAAACACCGCTATGTGAGTTGATGCATCAGGTCTGTGACTTCTTGGAAACGAGAAGATCCACATATGGGGAGGGTTTGAGTCCTGGCTGGACAGAATTGCATCTCCCCCCGCCTTTCTGTGATTGCATAGCTCTAAGCATCTCCCTGTCTTCTCCAGAGAGGCTTCTTGGGCCTGATTGCGCTCTTAAGTTGGCTGTCTTAACTGTCGGAACAGAAGACAACAGAAACACGTCTGCTTTTAGGCACTGAGAAAGCGGTACAGAAAAATATCCTCATGGAGAGGCTGCGCTGGGAGAGCCAGGAGAATCCCCAAAATGATCTAGCAGCTTAGTCTTGGGAAAGCCTGATTAGGGTGCTGCTGAGTTTGCCTTACTCTCTCCTGTTTTTATTTTGTCGTCTAGTTCCTCATGCGAGCCTGACTGCCATGCCTGGGTGTTGACGCTTTCGGGTACAGCAGTTTAAAATGGCAGAGAAAGGTGGAAATGAAGAAGTAGTTAACTTGAACAGCTTCCGTAGTCACAGAGGAAAAGGTGAGTACCGATTTGTGCATATTTCCAAAACTCTCTTTGTAAAACTCTGCTTACAAGCAGCAGGATTCATAGATACTGAACTTGCAATAGTGCCGTTAATGGGAACCTGCTAGTGGTCTCTTCTGCCGTGTTACACTGTGTTTGCTCTGTTACACTTACTTCACAGCCGCCTACAGAAAATTCTCTCATTTTATGCTGACATGCAAAATATTTGGCTCTTGTGTTTCTCATGTTGTACTGCCTTAAGGCAGATTGCTAACTTCTTGGGAACACCGTGTAGAGGTGTTTCAGCAGATCTGAGGGGCTTATGGTGTTCCACCCTTCTGAGGACCTCACAGGAGAGAGGCTGGCTTTGCATTTGTACCCTCACAGGGCTGTATGCATTGGCACCTGTTCCTCCAAGACTGGAATTCAAAATGATGCTTTCTGTATGCCTGAAAGGTGATAAATGAATACTCATGAAGGCTTATTCTAAAGCATACGCCAAAACGTTGTGTCAAATCGTAGGGGAAGCATGGTTGTATGCTGTCTCTGCAGTACAGAAACCCTCTGTTTCTGGATGGAGTGTCTCTCCTGAGTTCCAGTAGCTGTGCTCAGTAGCATCTGTATTCCACTCTTGACAAGCCTTGAGGGACAAGGTTCTCATCTAATAGCAGGATACCTTCTGTGCCCACAGACAGGGGCCCTATCTCTGTCTTGCATAAGGTACTCCTGCAAAGTCACATTCTTTCAGAAGAGGCCGAATTGCACAGAGAACCTTATCTCTCCTCTAGAATGCACTGCACATTAATAAAAGAAAATGTATCGTCCCCAAGATACTGAACGTTCAGGACTTCTCTGCAAAAATTAGGAAGTACTATGTAAGTGGCTTGTTCAGAATATTTGCAGCAGCTTGACTTGTGCTGAGGTTTGGGGTAGAAGAATCTTTGCCTAAGTGTCAATGAGTGACTGTTTCATGCATGTGCCATTGTGGTCTCTTGAGCTGTAGTTTGTGCACGTGTTTTGCTCGGAGGGCCCGGGGAGGTAGGAGTGGCCGTAACAGTAACTTGCAGAGGAACCAGTGACCTTTGAGCGCTTCTTCCCTGTTGCTGCAACGCAAATGGGAAGATTGCTTTTTCAGATGTTCGGTGCTTGTGCCCTGTAATTTCAGTTATGTACTTTTAGCAAATAGCTAACTTCACTTACTTTACTACAGACTGGATAAACCGCAGGGACGAGGGTCTTATCATGATATCAGATTCCTCGGATGAAGAATTACCTTTGCTGCTGGAAACGCCAGCAGAGCAGCAGCGTGAGGAAGATGACGATGATGTAGTCATCTTGGTGGAGGTAATTTTTCATTCTTGTACTTGCCCTGCTTTATTCATGGCCTTTGTAGCCAACTCTGGTGCAAGTATCTGATGCATTCCTTTGAGAGTCCTGTCCAGTTACAGTAATTTACTTAGGATGTCTGAAATGTGTGTTGAAATGATGGCATTTTGCTGGCTTTAAGTGTTTAATCATATTTTGGGCACAGGGGGGAGAACTAGATTGTTAAACTGCATTGTATTTAAATTTATACTTAACAAAGGCTGTAGCTTCCATAACGTTACCTATCTTAATCCAGAAAGGTGGAGAGCTTTGTAAGAGGACTTGATGTTCCTTAGAAGGCGGGTTTTCAAAACATGCCTTGTTTGACCTTGTATGCTTTATTCCTCTATGCTGTTTGGATTCTTATTGGGCTGTTGCAGGCACTTACATTTTTTGCAGTTTTACAAAGCCAGCCACCTGATAAATTCCTTTCCACTGGCACCGGCAGTCACACAGAGGAGGGCCAAAGGCTTTAGCTTACCTTGATTATTTTAAGTGTCTAATTTCATATCTAAGCTATATTAAGCATATATTTTCTGTTGAAGTAACCAGAGGCACTAAGAAAATGGGCTGCAAAGCTGACCTTTCTGTTTCTTAGTTGAAAACAGTAGCAGGGACTATTCAGACTCTGTTGGCATACAGCAGTCTGTCTGCCAGAGGCAAGAACAAGGCCAGAGATTAATGTTTTGAGCTTTGTCTCCTGCCTGTTTAAATAAATTGGTGAGAATGCAAATATGCCATCAGTTAGTTCCTCCTTCCCAGACTATTTTACTGGGAGGGAAGTGGGGACTGAGGTGAGCTCAGGAAATTATTCCAGTCTGAAAGTCCTGTGCATCCCCAGTTCTGCCAAATGTTCTCTTAGTACCTGGGAACAGACTGAGGATGGAGTTCAGTGAAACAAAGATATGTGAGTTGCAGTTTTATGCCTTATTAAGCACCTTGCTAAACAGACTTTTCATCTGTTTCCCATCAGAAATTTGATTAGATGCAAAAGATCATCTGGAGCAAGGATTCTGACATGCAGACAAGAACTCCTACTTACTCTTGTCTGTCTTCTTTTTAGACCCCAAAGCATCAGCAGCTCCTGCGTCCCAATGTCATCAGACCTGCTGCTCAATGGCAGGGTGCAAACGCTGTGGGAGAGGGAGGATCTAAAAATGCTGTCGAGCCCTTGAGGGGCATATATCTGCAAGATGAGAACTCAGCTCTGCTGTGCCAGGGAGACCGGTATAATCCCATGGTGGAGGGCAGTGCTGGACCAAGCAGGGATGAGAATATGAACTTTGCCTTGCAGCAGCCCGGACCATCTGAGCTTAATGGCCCCAGGTTTGAACTTACAAGTAACCAGGAGCCTGGCCCAAGTTTGCTTCCAGCAATAAAGCCGAGTCCACAGCCTGTTGTTAACAGAGGAATCATTAGCCTGGAGAATGCAGAAGTTCCACCACAAGAGGAAGAAAAGGTGGAAGCCCAGGGATGGCAAGGAGAGGACTTGGAGCCAGAGCAAAACCTCGGAGGAGCCGCTGCTGCAACTATCACAGACCAGGAGATCCGTGAGAACAGCCAGCTGGATCACCCGTACTTCCAGCCGTTGGAAGGCGAGCCACATGCTGTAGTAAATGGTTGTGCTCCTCAGCAAGGGCAGCCTAAAGCAGACCCAGGATCTTTGAGGGCATATGGAGAGGAGGCTCCTGGGCCAGCCTTCCCCCGACCTGAACCACAGCAGGATGGGATTCCAGGTCCTGCTTCGCCCCAGCCGGCGCATCCACCGGAAGAGATGGGTCAGCACGCAGCGATAGACAATGAACAGCCAGGTCCAGCGTTCCCAGCACAGGGCTCTCACGAACTTGGCTCTAGTAATGTGCCAGAACAAGGAGCTGCTGGGCAGGACCAAGACCTCACGGCACTGCTCATCAGAGAGACGGTAAGTGTTCCTAGGGCTTGTTTGCCTTCAGTGTGCATGTTATTTTTAGACAGGTTTTTCAAGGTGTGTAGTGTTTCACATGCTCAGAGCGCAGCCCTAGTGACTTCAGCTGCAAATCCTCTTCATTTTGGCTAAGACTCAGCTGTGCACCAGGTGAGGAGCTTGCAGTGAACTGTCTTGGAGAACTTGGGTTTGAAAGACTAACCCCAGTGCTATGGCAGAAGGGGTGAGAGGATGTGAATCTTGAGGGCTCTGTTTGCTTCGAGGTGGGCTATTAGCCAGGGAGACTTAACAGAACTGATTGCAGGGTCTCAAGGGCACAGTGAGGTAAAATAATATGGGTCTGTTCCCTTAAAGGCTAGTGCCCTCTCAGTTCTGCTCGTTTGTTTTTTGTCTGGCTGATTCCTAACCCAACTCTGTGGAGCTGGTTTAGGGATGGATGTGGAGCTAAATGAGAAAACTGAGACACTAAATGCTGGTAGAGGGTTAGAGGGGTGGGGTAGAGAAGGCTTAGAGACACATGGCTGAGAGCCATGGCTGCTTTCAGCTGCCTTTCCTAGAGTACTTTGGTCCATGGCCGTGTAAAGGCCACCATAGTGGTTGGGGTTGCCCTTGCAGTGTGGATTTCCAAGCAGTAGCACTGAGGAATTACTGGATAAGCAGCGTGAAGACTCGTGTATGTTAACTCCACACGCTCCTTTCTGACTCTGCATGTGAAGCTTAGCATGAGGGGCACTAGCTACAAGACCTGAACCACCAAGAAGGGTACTCCTTAACCTTTGGTATGTTCAGCAGCTTGGGCAACATGGTGTGTATTTAAAAAAACAAAACAAACGTGGTGATGCTTCACATGTCTAATGCTTTCCCCTCCAGTGCATGCTCCTCCCCTAGATTGCTAGGGAAGAAGGGTCTCTCTTGATGCCTTATGGAATACTTTTTTGCAAACAAGCGTATTTTACTGCATCTGTGTCTTACACCACCACCCCCATCCCCTCCAAGTCTTCCCTCCACATCCCATATCTGATTGTGTTTGGGAAAACTGGGCTCGAGGAAAATATTCTTTAAGTAGCAGTCCAACAAAATTCAATTCTTTCCGAGTGAGACCTTGTCGATTGGTGACTTGCTTTGAGATGGGCGAGTAGATACTCTTGCGCTGTCAGGGTTGCTTGACAACCCTGACCAGTCCAGTCTTGCAAAGCAAAATATCATATGGTGCAATCGATTGCAATACTTGTACAGAAACCCAACGAGAGAGAGCAGCAAAGGGTGCTCTTTGCTATGTGGCTAATGCTGGGAGAGCTTTCATGGAAATGCCAGTAGAGGTTTGTTGTCTGTTCTGATCTCATTCCTAGTGTGTCTGGGTGCTTTGGGTGGGTATACGTATCGTTGGGTTTTTTCCTTTTGCTTTGGAATGTTGTATTTCAGCACACAATCTGGTGGTCCTTAATATTCTGTCTGAAGGTAAATATTAGCTTTTCTTGTGTTGTAGGTCATACCTATGTGCCTCTCCTCTTTCCATCCAGCCTGAATCGTTTGTGAGGCCAGCTGCTCGTGGCCATTCACATCACCACCCATACTCTTCTTGTGAGAAAGAGCTGCTAGCAATCATCCTGTGGAGCCAGGAAAGCCAGCAGCTTGCAGTATCCAGGCTGGATGGTTATAAATGGTTTCTTGAAATCCATTTTGGCCCTTGTCTCAGGAGCGTGCCAGATAATTACCTATAAATCTCTGTCTTTGGTGCTGTTGCTAGGTTGTGCTACACAGCTCCTCTAATACCTACGTAACCTTTAGCTTTTCCTACTGTAGGAAGCAAGATTCCCAGATGCGAAGAAGGAATATATTGAAGAGCTAATCAGCATCAAGAACTGCTATGACTTAAATGTGTAAGTATAGAGCTAAGAGCCAGGGTGTATCACACAACAGTCTGGCTGCAGTCACGTTTCCATTTCTCCACCTGCTAATGATGCTGTTCTAGAGCATATTCAGGCTGGGAGTCAGCACTGGATTGATAGTGCCAAAGAGCAGAGAATTTTTTTTTTCCCTTCTAATAGAGCTTTTCTTAAATCCTCTCTAAGTCTGACGTTGTGCTGTAGCTTCTCTGCTTTTAAGATCATTTGCTTATTTAAAGATATTGTGTATAATTTCCTCTTAACTATTACTAGGGTTCTTAAAAAGGGTGAGTGTCAGGATTAAGGTGTTGAGGTGACTTCTATAAAACACAGTACGAAGGTGGGTTGGTGAGTTTTGAGTTGCAGAAAAGAGTTTCCTACCTCTTCATTTCACTGGCTTTTGGCTTTTTCCAGGTAAAGCTGACACTGTTTTGGACTCCCTTATTTAGTGTCATGATGTTGGCTCTTATCCCCTTTACTTAATCAAGTACCAGTGGTACTGTTTGAGTTCTCTCACATCACTTTTTGCAGATAGAATAGAGCAAACACATTAAAGGACTGGTAGGATTGATTCTGTTGAGGGACTGATTTTGGTCAGACTGAGCAGAAACGTGAGCCAAGAAGGGAAGGAATGGAAAATCAGTGTGAGGACTGTTGCTTTCCCAATTCCCAGCTTAAGAATACCTTAGTGTTCATCATGCTTGATATCTCTGGGAGTCATGTTAGAATCAAAAGTTTTAAAAAAGTCATTAACCTTATTGATAAGTTGCATCATCTCCCTATTCTTTTGGGTAAAGCTTGCACAGCTGAAGAGCAAAGGCTTGCGTGTGTGTTGTGGTTTAACCCCAGCCAGCAACTCATCCCCACCCAGCCGCTCGCTCACTCCCCCCTGGTGGGATGGGGGAGGGAATTGGAAGGGTAAAAGTGAGAAAACTCGTGGGTTGAGATAAAGGCAGTTTAACAGGTAAAGCAAAAGCCGTGCAAGCAAAGCAAAACAAGGAATTCATTCACTCCTTCCCATCGGCAGGCAGGTGTTCAGCCATCTCATCCCCAGGAAAGCAGGGCTCCGTCACACGTAACGGTTTCTTGGGAAGACAAATGCCATCACTCCAAACGTGCCCCCCCTTCCTCCTTCTTCCCCCAGCAACACAGAGGGGAGAGTGGTTTGAAGTAAATCACTTGTGACTTGTGTCTGACGCTAGGTGACCCCTCTCTCTTTCTCTCTCTGCAGCTGTCACTGCTCTCAAACATGTTGGAACTAGTTATTATGTGATACAAGAATGAAGAATAGGTGTTGGTTGCCAGAGAATTCACTCTATCTTGTATGAATCCGATGCCCTTTCCAGTTAACTAGGGCACTAATTAAGCACTGTCCGAGTGCGTGAGGCTTAGAATTAGTTATTGGACCATAAATAAGTTAACTGGCAAGGAACTAAGGATGATCCCATCCATTGGGCCCAGATTTCCTATTCTGCTTCCTTTGCCTGTGTTGTGAAGTCACGTCTCCAAAGTAGGGCTTCTTGGTTAGAAAGTCACCAGGCTGTAACTTCTTTCTTGTCTTTCGAAAGTGCTTCCCCTGCAGCGGTGGTGTGGTCAGCATGAGAGAAGCTTTCAGGTGCCCGCACCGCGTACTTGGTGCACCTCAGCGTGGATGGTTGCGTTGGGAGTGTAGAAGACCGGTAGGGCCATTCCTCGGGTCAATCAGGCTATTGAAGTCAGGCATCTGGCTGCAGGACCCTCTCACAGATTGTGTGAAAAAACTCATTATTGTGTCCTGCGGGGATTTAGCGAAGCCTGGTAGAATTAAGTCCCGGTATTGGCTTCTATCAGTCTTAATGTGTTCCTTCCCTTTTTGCTCCCAAAATCTCTTCTCTCCTATTGTGTGCCACAGACCCAGTGAGATGAAAAGGTGCTTACAGGCTTCCCTGTAGGCCATCTACAGTGGCTGCTCAGCGGTGCGTTACCCACTTACTGGATGATAAAGATTTCTTCTCCATATTTCTATTCCTTTAACCAAACTATCTTTTGAGTTGTCACTGCATCTTTTGTATGAGAACAAATGGGTCAGAGCACTGGTCAGCCTCGCTGGCAGGGTCTCTTTGATCTCCATGGTATGTCAAGCTGAATCAGGCTTGAAATATAATAAATAAGGGTGGCTGGGTTTGGGCAGGGATGAGGCTTTTAACTGGCTCTGTGTCCTGTGGTGCAGATATTAATGAACAGTGCTGCAAGTGTGTGTGCATTGCGCGCTGGGACCCACTTAACTAATTGTCAGACATTGAAGGTTAACATCTCTGAAAATCCTGAGCATTGAAATGGCAACATGCAGAATGGTTCAAATGTACTCTGACTGCGCCCCAGCTGAAACCCTTGCGTTTGAGCTGTAGTGATTTGAGCTCCTTGAAGTTTCTGTTTTGTTGGATTAAAACAGTTATCTTCTACAAAAGGGATGGGGGAAGAGCTGGAAGCTATTAAATGCTCAGTGCCAAGATATTTTGTTGTTTTCCAAAACGATCGTCTTAAAACTTTCAACTGATGTGAAAGATAAGATGTGGGAGCTCTTCTTAGCAGGGTATCATCTATTCAGCTTTTGTGTGCAGAAGCATTCACACTCAGTCAAAAGCTTCTGGCTCAATATGTCAATACCTGATTAAACAAAAAGAAATGCCTCTGCTTTGAATGTGAAAGCAGGGCTAAAGTAATCATGCCTTGATAGTGGGTTAGTGCAAGCCAGTTCAGATTTCATTAGGGACTGATTTCTGACATCAGGAATGTAAATTAGCTGCAATTATGTCTTTGCTGCAACCTAGCACCTTCTCATTCAAAGTCTTACAAATGTTAATTGCTTGTCCTAGCTCCTTTCAGAAGGATATTATTCTACAGCTGGGGAAACTGAGTTTATGTTACTTGACGCAGCTAGCACAGCTGGTTAGTGAAGGTTGAGAATAAGATGTGAAAGTCTGATTCAGCCAGCCTACAGCAAGCTTTCCTTTTGAAAGGCCTTCTGAAGTATTTGTGGATCTCCAGCAATGGGGTATTCTGAAACTACTTGTTAGAGTCTTTTCTAAGCTGAAATACTCAGTTAAACTAAACTTACCTGACAAAGTTATGATTGTTTGTGATAGGACCTCGGGTATGCTCCATTTACAGGCTAGTATGCATTTTTTTTCAGCAATTTTTGGTCATTATTTTCTAAACGCTGTTCTCACTAGACCAGTTTCTAGTGTGAATTGGACAATGCTGGTGTGATTTCAAGCTTTATTACAATGAAACCTGTGTTCAGAGTACATATTGTATGTAAACACAGTTTAAACTTGTTTCTGCCTCTGCTCTAACGTTAAAGTAGATAGAGAGTGGAGGCTTTAATTAAAATTTGAATCTTTACACTTCTGTCGAGGAAGACATCAACCTTTCACAGGTTTTGTAGAGGTTCATATGCTTTGGAATATGGAAACATAGATGCATTTGTATTAGTGACAGCTAGATTTCAATTAATGCTGCCAATGCTGTGACTGTTCTTTCTTGTATGGTCTTCATAATGTTAATTCCAGAGCAGCAGAAAGTTAGTACACCTTGACTCTTAGTCGATGCTCAAAGGAGGCATCACTTTGCATGGTTTTACCCACGGGTGGGAGTGGGGAGGTAAGCCTGATTGTTCACCTCTGGCATGGAGAGATGAAGGTTGGTTAGTAGCTCACCTGTACAAGCTTCTCTTTTACGTAAATGTAATTGTTGAAAGACAAATCTACTTGCTTTTCTGTCTGCAGTCAGACAGCTGACCATTCTTTACTTAATTCTCCGTCATTTACTTTCAGTTTGCTCTAGTCTGAGACCATCCTTCGTTCTTACGGGGCGGGTTGTGACTTGCCTGCCCAGCCTCTTAATTATAAGATACTAAAAATTGGACAAGCGAGGAATGAACCTGAGCTGCCAAACCCTGAAGTAACTATATTTATCTTTTCAGACTTTGTAACTTTCTTCTGGAAAATCCAGATTACCCAAAGAAGGAAGGCAGAGTGGTTTTAAATCCCAGCAGCAGCCTGCTTGCAAGCCAAGATGAGACAAAGGCAAGTGAGAGTATCCTCATCTACAGCATGCCTCCCATCCAGTCTGTTCAACCTGAGCAGATCTTGGGTTGTCTGGTTTTATTGGTGTGTATTTGTAGAGTGCCTGGTTGAGCCATATGTTATAGGAGGCCTCTGGGTGCATTTAAGATGGCATTAAATAGCAATGGTTAGTTGCTTGCAAGACGACTTCAAGACTCTCCTGTCTTGCTGTTGTGTAGCTGCACCATATCCGCTCTTTCATGTTCAGCGAGACCCTCTGCCGTGCCTGCCTGTCAGCCACCCTGTCTGGAGCGTTCATTTTGATAACTGATACAAGAATTCTGTGGTCATTCTGTCACATGAGGTAGACTTGGCCCTCAGGTCTCTCTTGTGTGGCCTTTAGGCGTTGCCTTTCAGCCTCCTAACTGCGAATCTCCCTACAGTTTCTTGATTTTATTTATTTTTTTTAAAGTCCATTTTGCAAAAATTTCTCTCTGAGCTGCTTTGAGTATGTTGAAATAGCTGCGTGTGGCCTGAGAGCAAAATGTTGAATACCTCTTTCTACTCTTGGAATCATCACTCAACCTCAAGCCAATAAAGTTGTTCACCCTTTATAGGAACCTAAATGTATCCTCTCCTCGCTGCCTGGTGCAGCCGGACACAATGGCTTTAAAGTATGTGCTGTGGGCCCTGCTAGGAGCAGGGCTGCAGCGTGGTGCAGCTCAGGACAGGTTACCCGCGCAAGCGCGTAGACCAGTAGGCTGTGCTCTAAGCTGATGGTTAGATAGGTGCTCAGAACTGGGTGCCATGCAACCTGAATTTCGGGTGGTCCTGCAGAAGGTCCAGATCACTGAAAGAGCTGTTTGGGGTGTTCTTGTGTGTATTTATAGTAGCCTTTTTATATCTTTCACGTTTTCTCCTTAGGTGCCTAAAGTGGACTACTTCGACTTTTCCAAACTTGCCCCACTTGACCAGCGGTGCTTTATTCAGGCAGCTGACCTCCTTATGGCAGACTTCAAAATGCTGAGCAGCCAAGACATTAAGTGGGCACTACATGAACTCAAGGGACACTATGCAATCACGCGAAAGGTTCTCCGGTTCAACTCTGTTTTCTTTCCTAGGGTTATCTCCCGTGTCTGTGGAGAGCAGTGCGATGTCTTTTGCTATACTGTGCCATCTGCTAGTGTGTGGTTATGGGTTTTTTCATGATCTTCCTTTTAAGGAGTATTAATCCATTTAGTTTAGAGACTTAAAAAATTTATTGGCCAGACAGAACGCTGCAGGAAGTTTTTACTTTTCTCTAATAGGAGAACTGGGGAAACGCTAGCTAGTTGATGGTAGGTGATGGATTAAACTGAGGAGTGTTCCTGTAAGTCGCTGCTGAAGTGCAGTATAATTGCCAATAAAGCCTAGACATTTAGCTAAATCTTAAAACGTTTAACTGCTGCTATTAGTTAACTGACTGCATGTAATTGAAAAGAAGCCCAAGTCTCACTGTCCTGTTTCTTCTTCTTATGACTTGTGGAATGAGTCCTATATTCCCCATAAGGGTTTCACTGCAATGGAGCTATGAAGAAACTTGTTTTAAGTATCAACAAACTGAATGTAAATGTGGCTTCAGGCTTTTGACTTGGATCTACTCCTCTGATATGCTCCTCTTGCTTGAGCTCCTTTCTCCACTATTCCAGGACTTAAACAAAAACTCCTTGTCTCTTCATTTGCTTGATTGAGCACTGAGTATTTGAGCTTTTTTTTTAAAATAAAAAACCCAACAACAACAAAAAAACCCTAAACCAGCTCTGTTGGATCAGAGTGGATAGCAGCCGTACTGGAGTTAATAGCTGAGGTGTTGTGAAGTATCATTCAACTATTTTGTTTTTATGGAATGATTGCTTTACGAGTGCATTAAAACAGCAAGGTGAGCAAAGGAAAGAGGTATACTTGCCTCTATGTGGGGTGTTTGGCTTTCTGGTTTTGGATCACTTATATGCACATGTTTTGATCTGAAATATGTGCTTCTGCTTTCTTCCAGGGAACAGGATTTAAGTCTGTATGTTGTTTTTTAGGCCTTTTCAGATGCCATCAAAAAATGGCAGGAGCTGTCTCCCGAAACCAGTGGGAAACGAAAAAGGAGGAAAGAAATGAATCAGTATTCATATATTGACTTCAAATTTGAGCAAGGTAAATACCAAGCCGTATGTATCGTGCTCTCTGCATGGTTATTGTAAGCAGAACTGGCTTGCAGCAGAAAGTACTGTTGTTGAAAAGGGATGTGGTCCCAAACCAGCGATGTTTCTGTCACTGTCTGGTATCTGTTTTGGAGATATTCTTCATTAGTCCCTCTGCTTGGTACAGTGCTGTTTGAGACACTGAAGTTACACAGCTGGTGGTGTATGGAGGAAGAGGGATTTAAGCTTTGTTCTGGCTGCTCCATCCCATTTCATTGTGCCTTTAACTCCGCTTTAGGAGATGTGAAAATTGAGAAGCGCATGTTCTTCCTGGAGAATAAGAGACGGCACTGGAGGTCCTATGACAAGCTCTCTCTTCTCCCACCAGTGCTACTGGAGCAGGAATTCTATGAGCAGAAAGTTAAAGAGATGGCAGAGGTGAGTGGTAGGAGCTGCTTTGATCTTGTGGTGCAAACGACTTCAACTGCTGTAGAGGTCTTGGCCCTAAACGTGGAAATCTGTCTCTTAGAGAAATTCAAATGCTGAACAAAATGTTGAATAACTACCTTTGCCACTTTACTATCTGTTAACACGTATGACTCTTCCCAAGTAACTCGTTTTTGGAGGAGGAAAAACAAGCACCGAGGTTCATATTTACTTAAATATATAGCTGCTGCTTTTGCTGCTGAAAACCTCCTATATATCTGCTAATGTCAATGTATAGTCCATGATACAACACCGCCCTGGACCTTTTTTTTGCTACAAAGTAGTAAAAGCTCTACTAATTGATTATTTCCTCTAACTGTTAGCTGGTTTCTCTGGTGCTTTAGGGCTTGTAATTGCAGCTCAGTGTTAGCGGCGAATAATGACCAGGCCCGAGGCAGTCTGTCCACTCACTCTGCCTTCCGCAGGTTGGTGGTCCTGTGTCTCCAGAACGTCTTGTCCTGTGCTGAGGACCACGTGTTTTGAAGCAGAACACTGCGACGCTCGCTGGTGTGTTGTCTTCCCCTCGTAGTCTGAGGGAAGACTGAATTCAAAGCTCTGCACCTACAGTCCTTTTTCTAAAGTAGCTTCTTAAAGATCCTTGTGTCTTAGGCAGATGGATAGTGTCTCCTTTTAAACACAAAGCTAATGCTCCTTGGGGCTTTCTCTGGAGGGGCCCATTGGGTGAGATCATCTCTGCCCATGGAAACCTGAACCAGCAGCCCTCCGTAATACAGAATTCGGTTCCCTTTGTTCTTGCTGCTTTTGCTTCTCCCATCTGTTTTAGCTGAATCATAAATAGCTTAATGGATTGGAAGGATGGGCTGAGTGATGTTGTAAGCAGACAGTGAGCCTTTTATGGTTTGTAAGTCCTGAGATAATGTAAAAGGGTGTAGAGGCTGGAAAATTCCTTCATCTATTCTGTAAATACAGATGCATATGTCTCTCTTACAGCACGCAGACTTTCTCCTTGCTCTGCAGATGAATGAGGAGCAATATCAGAAGGTCAGTATCTATAATGTGGTCTCTTGAATTCAGCTTATGCACAGACACTGTTTTGCACTTACTACTTCACAGACTCTTTTGGCTTCTGGAATGGAGCTTTTCTGAAGCTGCATTTGCACTGTGCTGCTTTTGCTGAGCTGGCAGAACCTGCGTAGTGCGTGTTGGCTGGCTTTTAGAAAAGGTAGACGAGAGCTGAGTCCAGCAAGACAGTATTGATGCGTGTAATGATCTGTAGTAATTCAGTCAGCTGCTGCTTGTATCTTTACTGGCTAGAACAAACATTGCAATAGAATATTACCAGGTTTGCTCTTGCTACCACCATTACAGCTGTTTAAAACAGATTTGCTGTTGTTGGAGCTGTGCCAGTGGAAAGGCCTTCCTCGTTTGCAGAAAGGACTCTAAAAACCTGAAAATTGGGTCTTTCCTTGTAAACAAAGAGAGAAAAGTGTGAGATCGGTTC